CCAGCTGCTCGTGGTTAAAGTTGGACACCCCGATGGACTTGGCCAGTCCCGCGTCCTTGCACTTCTCCATGGCCTGGGGAGGAAGGGTGGTGAGGAGTGATCTGTGTAGCTGCCTCGAGAAGCATAATCAAAGGTAGGGTGCTGGGTGGGGCCGGAATGAGAGAGAGGGAGACAGAGCAGGAGAGAGAAAGTCTTAAACGGTGTAGATGTCAGTGAATAAGACAGGAATTGGCCAATAGGAGGAGAGTGAAAAATAAGATCGTTTTTTAAACAGCTAAGATAGAGTAAGAAAAGAATGCAGGTGGCCAGGGCAGGGCTGAGAGAGCCAGTAAGATCTGTAGCTAAACACCTAGAAACCTCTGGTTGAACAACAGCAAGACGAGCCAAGAGGGCAGGAGGTGTGGTCAGGTGCAGCCTGGGAGACAGGAGGGGGCCACGCCACCTCCCAGAACACTGGCTCTGTTCTCTCTTCGACCTCACCTCCCAGGCTCACCCTACTCCGGCCACACAAGCCCCTTCGCTGGTTTTGAACGTGGCAAGCTCTCTCCTGCCTTAGATCTGCCTCGGCTTCTCTGTGCCTGCGTCACTCTTCCCCCGGTGCCCCCAGAGCCGGCCCCTCGTCTCCTGCAAGGCTTTTCTCAGATGCCACCTTCCCAAAGGGGCCTGCTCTGCCCATTTTTATTTTTTTTAGTTGCTTCTCTGCGCCCCAACCCTCACCCCCTCCACACCCGACACTCTCAGTCCCCTTAATCAGCTTTGCTTTCCCGTATCCCCGCCTGCACCTGTCCCCACCAACAGCACCGACCAATCTATGGGGCCAGAGAGCCTGGTTTTGTTCATGGATGTAGCCTGAGTGCTTAGAAGCACTCAGCACTGAGTACGTCACAGGCACTCAGTAACTTCTTGCTGAATTACTGAATGAACGAATCATGAAACCAAGACAGAGGGACATTTGGGGACTTGCCCAAGTCTACACAAGGGGGCAGAGTTGGACCACATCCACCTTTCCTGAGTTCTTGTCTGTCCTCTCTCCCCCAGGGCGCACAGACATGGCCTCTTCGGAGCTGCACTCACCTCCCACGTGGCACAGAGCTCCACGGGGTCAGAAATGATTTTTCCATGTGTGTCCCTTGGGAAGAAGTCCTCCCCGGGCTGGGAGACAGGGAAGAAGAAGAGACTGGATCAAGCCCCACCTGGCCTCAGCCAAGCTGTTCCGAGCCTGCAGACCCTGAGGCCAATGGGACAATCTGCCACTGATCCTGAAAGGAGCTGTGAGGTTAGGCCACGGGGAAAGGTAGTACAGTGGGAAAGTACACTTCCAAGAAGTGGTTTTAACTGCTGAAGGTTTAATAAATACTGTTTGTGTCAAGGGCATCTTGAAACATCCAAGACCCCAAGCTAGTGAGAGCCCAGAGGGCTGCCATGGCTGGACGGGCTCCTTGGTCCTGGACCCTGTGGGGTCCTGGACCCTGTGGGATCCTGGACTCTGTGGGATAAGGCCTTCTCACCTCTGCTCTCCACCTGGAGGTGGGCGTATACAAGAGCAACCTGTCAGCATCTCAAGGGCTGAGTCTCATCCTCATTAAAATTTTCTGTGCCTTCACTGGTCTCCAAGTCAGGACGTTCCCCAGACACCAGTGGGCATGAGGCTGAAATTCAAGAGCATGGGGCCTTGAAAGTATAGACAGTCGTCCACAAGATCGAGGCAAACGCACTGAAACCATTAAACCCTTGTCATTCTGGGGCTGGCATAGTAAACTGGGGTGGGGACAGTTGCAGAAAAAAAAAAACAAATCAAAGTATTATATATGTTCTTCCTATTTTCACAAACTGCATCCTCCTTCTGTTTAGCTGCCAGTGTTTAGGTTGTAGCCAAAGTAAAGTAACTTTCACTAACCTTCAAGGCTATTGGGTAATGAATAAGACAAAGATCCACGTAGCTCAGCTGAAGTTTCCTCAGTGACCTTTGCAGGCCAGTTTGGACCAATTCTGGGCGGAAGAAGGTGCCCCACACCTGCAGTGGTTGAAAGAGAAGTGGGGTGGGGTTTCGTATTTAAGAGTCTTTAGGAGAGGTTTAATACACCCACCACCAAAAACCCGCTCGTGGTCGTTGGAAAGTGACAAGTCATCCCGCGAAGCCCAGATTCTTTGTCATCATAGCTCATTCTCATACTGAATTCCGTAGAAAATAAAAATATGGTCTTACAAAGACATTTTCAAAACTCAGAACACAAAGGAATTATTTGGTTTGCTTGTGCAAAATATATCCATGGCTTCTCCCTCAACCGTTGTAAATCACAGTATCTGGAGGCTGGGCTGGGAAATCGGACTTCAGACGAGCACCTCAAGTGATTGTGATTCTGGAAATTCTCTCTCGACTGTATTAAGAGGTTGTTTTTTTTTTCCAAAGAAAGGCCCATTAGGAACTTTCTGGGGGGTGGTATTTTAGTCACTTCATTTTAAGGAGAAATAGCCTAAGGAAAATCCATCAAAATTCCTAAAGGTAAAGAAATAAAAGGATCCCATGAGAAGAGGCTTAAAAGATGGGAGTTGAGAGGGTGAGAGCTGGAGGGACACCACATCTAAACACAGCCATGCGGATTCAAATTCTGGAGCTAGAGGGAAGAAAGAGGAGTAGGAAGAATAAATTAGGAGTTTGGGATTCATATATACACACACTACTATGTATAAAATAAACAACAAAGACCTACTATATAGCACAGGAAATGTATTTGATATATTGCAATAACTTACAATGGAAAAGAATCTGAAAAAATGCATATATGTGTGTGTGTGTGTGTGTGTATAACTGAATCACTTTGCTGTACACCTAAAACTAACACAACATTGTAAATCAACTATACTTCAATTTAAAAAAAGGAATACTCAGCAGGGAGGGTGTAGCTCAAGCGGCAGAGAGCATGCTTAGCATGCACAAGGTCCTGGGTTCAATCCCCAGTATCTCCATTGAAAAACCAAATAAATACATAAGCCTAATTACCTCCCCCTGCAAAAAAAAAATTAAAAAATAAAAAAGGAATACCCATTTACAGACCTGCATAGGGGTCATGATCATGAGCATCAGCTCTCTCCATGGGCTACTCGACTCCAAATTCAAATGCTTGCTAGCAGTAGTCAATTCAATGAACACGATGGGAAAAACTCTTGGGTTCCCTTATCCAACCTGACTTAAATACCAAGTTCTTTTATTTGTTTCAGATATGGTATCAGTGGATATAAAGAATATTAGTAGACAGTGGTTCTAGAGTTTTAAAAATACATTAAAAATACTTTTATAAACATGAATAATATCCTCAAATCAGTTTCATGGTATTATTTTTCCTGCATCACAGGAAAGAGAAATAAATGCCTATTGACAATGCAGTAGGCTGAGATACAAGGACTAAGACTCAAAGAGGTAAAAAGACTTTTTTCTTGGTTAAGAAATTTCCCAAAGTCAAATATATAGAATATTAAAGAACTAACATTTGATCTTAGTTTCCAAAAGCCAACAACTTCTGACTAAATTGCTTTACTTCCCAGTACAGCTGAGAAAGACTGAGTCACTTCATCAAAACTTGAGTATGACAGAGTCAGAAAGACCAGATCCACCCCCTGAGTTTCAAAACGCATGATAATAAAAACAGCTAGCATTTTTGAGAGTTTAAAATATGTTAAATACTTCTCTGAAAGTTTTACATGTATTTTTGAAGTAATATTCATAAAAATTATGTGAGGCAA